ACCTGGGCACACCTATTGCAGGCTGGTTTGTCTCCCATCCCTACCCCAGGAGAGTGGTTTAGGCACCTCCCACGTACCAAGGTCTGTACAGATGCCTCTGCGGTCTGAAGCTCTGTCTGCACGGAGGCATCAGCCACCGCAGGGGAAGATGGTGCAGACCCCTTGGCCAAAGCAGCAGCCTTAGCTCTGAGACGAGTGCCCACCATTGTGTTTTGAAGAGTCAGGGAGGATATCCGCGCTTCTCCTGGTCTCTAGTACTTCCCTCGGAGGAACCCTGCCTGCTCACTCTGCTCCTACAGCTGCCCTGTGACGCTTCTGGACCCAGAAGAACTTCTGCGTCCCACTACAGGAGCCGCCTCCTCTGCTGCTGTAGGTGTTGCTCTCTGTGGGCAGAGAGCTAGATCTCCTCCCTCCCGGTAAGATTTTAAGCACGGAGCGGGGGAATGGTGGCTGCGGTCGCCCTGGCGACGGCTGTGCCACGTCAGCCTCTCGCGAGGCTCACCTCAAGGACAGCAGCTCCCCTAATCGCTGATAAAGGGTAAATCACTCTCACTGTCTTGAAGGCCAAACTGACCCAGCACCATCTGACTGTTCACATATTCCCCGAGTTACAAGTTTAACTTCTTTATTGCCAGTTAACACTGCGACAGCCACGGCTTCCTCCAGCCCGGTGGATGAGGAGGAGGCAAAGGAGGACTTCCCTTCGCAAGGGGAGGACGCAGCAGTTCCTGCCTTCAGCACTACCGCTTTCTGTTTCGCTTCCCCTCAGCACCCTCCCTCCGGCCCCAGGCCCGTGTGCCAGCCTGGGCACCATGGCTGAGCTGCAGGAGGAGCTGACCTGTCCCATCTGCCTGGACATTTACAGCAACGCCGTGTCGCTGGGCTGCGGGCACAGCTTCTGCGAGGGGTGCATCCGGGAGGCGCGGAGCCACCAGCCCAACCTGGGGGGTCCCTTCCGCTGCCCGCAGTGCTGCACTCCAGCAGAGCCCGCTGCCCAGCTGCAGCCCAACGCCCAGCTCCACAGCATGGTGCGGGAGTTTTTGGATGCTTCCGCTCATCAAGAGCAGGACAAGCATCCTGGAGTGCAATGCGAAAAGAAGGGGGAAGATTTGGGCCAGCAAGAGGAGGTGATCCCATGTGATTTCTGCCTTCAGGAGCCCCAGCCAGCTGTGAAGACCTGCCTGAGCTGCGAGGCTGCCCTGTGCCAAGCCCACCTGAGCAAGCACAGCTTGAAGAGGCACCTGAAAGACCATGTCCTGATTGAGCCCTGTGGTGCTGGGGTTTTGGCTGAGAGGAGATGCCCCCAGCATGGCAAGCTGCTAGACATCTACTGCAAGACGGACTCGGTCTGCATCTGCTTGCTGTGCTTCTTGGCCGGCTCCCACAAGAATCACCAGATCATCACTTTGGGGCAGGCTTTTGGCCAAGCGCAGGTAAGAGGCTGCCAGGACAGTGGCCTGGGCACAGATTGCACTGAGAGAAGCACGAGGGTCTGTGGCATGGGGAGCTGCCTGCAGCACAGGCATGAAACATCTCCTGAGTTTCAGATCTGCAGACTCTGGATGGGGCTAAATCTCCATCTTGGGATATTGGGCTTTAATTCCTAGTTTTGCTCCAGATTTCCTCTGGGTTTGTTCCTCCAGATATAAAGTAAGATGTTACAAACACTTTCTTCCTATCCTGAGGAGCCAAACTGGTGGGACTGAGTGTTTGTGGCTATGCTTTTAGTCCTCAGTGCACTTTCAAGCTGGAATATCAGCCTGAGATGCATTTATGCAAAGAAAATAAATGACAGAGTAGCAGAAAGGAAGCTGTCTGCACTAGAAGGAGCTTCATGTGTGGCTGTTGCACATGAACAGTTTTGATTTCAAGATGTCTCTCCCATGCTCATAATTGCGGTATTTGTTCAGGGATAAAATCTTCCAGTAAACGTTTATGTATTGATTTATCCTGAGAGCATGCAGTGAACAGACCTTCTCCAGGTCTAGCTCAACCCCCTTCCATAAAATTGCTGATCTTGTGCATGTACGTTGGTCCTATCCTGTTATCTCCCTTTGGTTATTTTTATAGAATGTTTTTCCTGAAACTCTGAAAACAGTGAAAAGACAGGAAGCTGCCCTGAAGCAAAGGATATCAGACCTGCTGAAACAAGAGGACGAAGTAGAGGTTCGGTCCAAGGTCCCATTTCACTTTGGGAATGGTTGCATGCTGGTAGCTCATAAGGTTTTATTTTGCCCCAGTTCATGGATTCCAAAGATTTTTTAGTTCCTGGGTGGTTTCTCAGTTATTTTCTAGGTTTCTTCTTTGAGGGAGGACAATAAGCAACTTTCTTTTCAGTCTGGGAAGTACATTCTTAGTTTACAAAGTACCTTTGAGCTTGAAAGCTGCTGTTCAGTCCATGCCTCCTGATTGGTGGTGGTTGGCTTTTTTTTCCCCAACCTTATTAAATTTGCAGACACTAACTGATTTATAGAAAAGATACAGACCATGTTATAGTGATTTTATTCCTCTTTACAACAAGCAATCACTTTAGGTTAGCCTGTGGTTCTAAGGAGTTGGTAGGAATGAGGCTAAAAGATATCCCCAAAGTGTCTGGGTTTTGCTCCCAGCATGCAAATACCTATCTAAAAGCTCTGAAAGAGCAGAGAATTTAATGCAGGTCTCCAAATCCTGGTTCATTCTGCTTATGCAGAACTGGCACTTGCCTTCCTTCACCAGTAAAAACGAGGAGACTAGAAGTCCTGGACTGTACCTGTTGGCAGTGGCCGGCTGGGCAGCATAGCTGCTTTCAAAGAATAAAGGAGGCTTGGTGGAGGCAGGAAGCAGAGAAGGGGTTGCTCCTTACCCATCCTTAAAAGGACCAAAGGCAATGTATCTGTCAAAAAATGCCCGTGCAGAATAAGGAAATATATGCATAGTGGAAAGTCTTCAGCAAGTATCATGCAAGAAGCACTACTTTTTCGTCTTTTTCTGGTCAGGTGCCAGATGCTGAGGAAGGCCACTTATGTCACTTGGCCCTTCTCCTGTCAGTGGGACATCTTGTTTTGTTGTCATATGGAGAGGCACTAAGTTAGTAGTTACTTCTTGCAGCCCAGAAAAGACCAGGCTCTTTTCTGAGTGAGAGTTAGCATGGAAAATGTAAGATCCAGTCCCTAACACCTATGAAAGTGTTTTCTTAATAGACTAAGGAGAGACTGAAGAGGGATCAGCTGGAGAACCTCTTTGAAGAGCTGCATCTGCAGCTAGATAACAAAAAAGGAGAGGTCCTGAAAGCTCTCAGTGACAGCATGGAGCAAGAGCTTTCTCAGATTCAGACACAGATACAAGAACACAAAGAGCACAAGGATGCAGCCAGCCACGATGTCCAGGAGCTAAAGGCTCTGAGAGATCAGAAAGACCCAATTCTTTTCACCAAGGTACCTAACAGCATCTCCCTTCCCAGAGATACTCAGCTCTTGAGCAGTCCTTTGCCTGTGCTGTGCTAATTCTATTTTCACAATGTCTTTTACAGGCTTTTACAGCGATTCATGCCAGGTAAGCTCTTCCTGAGGTGGTCTGCTGTTGCATTTCATGTTGCTTCAGGTGACAGATAGTCCAGCGGTGCGGGGCTGCTGCTAGCCCCCTACAGCTCCCTGGGCTGACCCTGGCTGCACTCAGAGCCTGGCTTCCTCAGAGCCCTGGAGGAGCCCCAGAATATTAACAGAGGTCCTGTGTGACTCTGCATATACAACGTGGCTTATTTTTCTGTACTCGCCGCACCTGTTATCAAGACCCATTCTGAGGGCAATTCCTGAGTATTTAGGTCCCTGGGTAAGTGTGCTAAGGACAGATGAGCTTAGGTACCCTGAGCCATCCTCCACTTTGCATTGTCTTCTGCTTGTAAGAAGCAAATGTGTCAGGAGCCGAAACATGCAGTGAAGTCACAAGTCTACAATGTTCATGGCGGTTCCCCCGAGTTGTTCCCCCAGTGCCTGCCCAGCGCTGCTCCTCCCCGCAGCCCAGCGCTGCACACACAGCCTGCCCCAGCCCGGCCTGTCCCCAGCCCCGCAGCTCAGGGACAGCAGTTGTCCCTTGGCTGTGATAACGTGGCACTTCTCATGTGCTGTCCCAGCAGCTGCCCCTGCCACCTCGTTAGCTCCTGCTGCAGGGACTGGAGGACTGCAACGGCAGACGTGATGCTGGGGTCTGTCCTGGCAAAAGGTGGGGCTGAGGAGGCTGAGACAAGGTCCTCTGGGGCAGATATTGTCCATGGAGTGAATTTCATCCTAACAATGTTGAAGAGCTTTGGGGTCCTGGGAAAAGACTGGTCAGAGGGGGAGTCCAGGGTAAAGCTGCAGAGGGAGGGGTGACAGAGGCTGCTTTCTGTATCCCCCACTGAGGCTGGGTGTGGAGGGGAGGATGCAGTCGTTGACTCAGGGATGGGCTCGGTGATGGTTTCTGGTGACTTGCTGCTCTTCTGATGTCTTTCTGCATGTTTTAGGCAACATGAGCCAGTTCCTAACAAAGCTCATGTAAAGCTGCCAGCACCACCCATTATTTTGGATGAATCAACAGAAGACCGTGCTCTAAGGCTTTTTCAAAAATTTCTCTCAGACCTGCAGTCCTTATTTGAAGCACCACCTGGTAAGTGATCATTTCACTACATGACAAGCAAGACAGAGAAGCTAAAAAAACATATTTAAGAAAGGACTAAGACACCAAGTACCTCTATAACTGATTACTAACACTGTATGATTATTATCACATGTGTGTACGTAAAAGGTTGCTTGTCCTGGGCTTCAGCGCTTTGGGACATGCCTCGAATACACCCTGTTAAAATGAACTCTGGGTAAAGACATGCTCACGTCCTAGGATTTTTCTGGGAGAATTAAGAGAAGAGAATAGCAACATGTCTTCTGTCTGTAGCATCACTTTGATTCAAAGCATGGGGAAAGTTGAGACCTCATCACAGCAGGAGCTGTTTGTCTTACAATGTAAATAATCTACTCTTTCTACGTAAATAGTTCTACTCTTTTGTAATGTTTTGTAAGGCAAATCTACACTCCTACTGTTGTGGGATGCTTGTCCAACTGAACTAAAAAAATTAGAGTTCCCTTGTTACTTCTCTCTTGATGGTGCTTGAGCCCTTGCTGACAGTGAGCCCAGGGTCGAGGCTGAGAGACAGCTGGGGGGGGAAGGCGACAGTGTGCCTAACCGGCCACCATCCGTACAGCCTTGGGCACACTAAGAAGCACACCATGCTCGTGGCCACTCCTGAGCTCAGTCTCTCTACAATCCCTGTAATCACAGTCCAGCCCTGTTCTGGCTGGAAAGCCTCAGATCCAGGCTTTCCTCGTTATCTATGCTGTCTGAGCAATTCCGGTTAGTTGCCCAAGTCACTGCTGCTGTTTCAGTTTCCTAAAGGAGTAACCTTCAGAGCAGAAAATGCCATAACATTGAAATGCATTACATGCAAGGGAAGGTCTGAATAAAAACATTCTGCAAATTCCTGAATGTAGAATTAACTTCTTGTGACTTGCCATGCTAGGAAGTTTTGAGAGTTCTAGAAAATAACTTCCAATGATCCTAAGCAAATAAGTGTTTATAAAATGGCTGTGCTCCTGTTCACAGGCATTTCTTGTACATGGACATTAATCCAGGAAGTTTTTAAAAATGCTTAATGATCTCTGCATGACAGTGATGGAAAACTGAAATCTAAGAGCTGCTGTAGTTGGAAACAAAAAGCAAAAAGACACTTTAAAATTGTGAAAGAGCAGCATTTCTTGAAATGTGATATCAACCCCATTCAGAATTATATAGGAGCAGCTAAGAGAGGTGCAGAAGGTGTTTCACTTAACATATGCTTTTAATGACTTGGGTGGGTTGGACTTGAATGCGAGGACTTGGATTGGGAAATCCACCTTTCAGAAATGGGGATGTATGCAAATCTGCACAATTATCTGTTAATCATAATGTTGGTTTTTTCTTTCTATAGTTTATAATCCTCTGCCTTTTCCAATGCATCAAGGAGGTGGATCTGCTAACAGTGGCAAAGCACCCATATCCTTATTCAGTACTCCCCAATACTGGGGTTTCAAATAAATGCAATGGTATTCCAACATATGCAAAGCCAGCAAAGTTTTGTTTTGGGTAGTCACGTCTGCTACATGGATACCACCAATGAGACATGCTGGAAGCCCGGAATCGTTCATCCCAGATTTGAGTGCTACCTGCAAACGTCTCGTGGTTGCCTTCGTGTGTTCCTACGTGAAACACTGATCACAGCAAAGCACCTTCCTACAGCCCTCAAGGTGGTCAAAGCTAAATTGCAGAAAAAATACACTGTCATTTTATAATGCATCTGTCGAGGATGGAGATCCTGCTGAGAGGCTCAGGCTTGTAGAGGCAGTAAGCATCCCTTTGAACTATCCTGCCCATGCTACCTTCAGTGTGTCTTAGGGCACTTTGAAGCTCCTGTAGTGATGTGGGGACCAGGTGCTGTTTTGTATTTCCAGGCTTAAGTATCGGGACTGCTGCTGCATGGAGGCTGTGCTAAGCTAGCATATTAGAAATTGGATTTTGGCCTGCTGTGGTGGCTCATCTCTGAGAGGACAGGGCCTCTGTGGGGTGTATCACAGCACACTGCTGCTTACTGCAAGAGCTCCTATCTTATTTGTTCTGTTAACTCCTGATGGAAATACCATTAAGTTGTGCTTTTTCGCTTGGCTGTATCAAATGGCTGCATGTTATTAAAGTAATTTAGTTTGCAAAACGCAATGACAATTTAGTTCATAAAAAAAGTTGACAGCACAACATTAGCTGCTAGAGAACTAAGCAGCAGCAATGCTGATATTTACTCTAATGCACCAGCTTTTACCTCTGCCCTCCTGCACCCATCCTGCACAACCTAAGCCAGCCATCGCAGAAGCAAAGCTGGCCTGGGTGGCGAGTAGAGACTAGGTGGTAAGACACCTGGTTTCCCTTGCTCTCTTGCTGTCCCCCTTGGGAGCTCTCTGAGAAATCACTTACCTAGTTCTTGGCTCAATTTTCATTTTCTCCTCACCTACGCAAAAATTGCATGGTGAAGGGGAAATAAAGAGGAAAACTCCTGTGCCTTTAGTCTGTGCCATCTGGGGCCTGGATTGGTTCCTTCTTATGACTGTCCAAAGGCCGTGGACAGGAAGGGATGCTATTCCTGCCTGCTGCCTGTGGTTCTGCTGCCCTCAGACAGAGCCCGGGTCCAGGCAGGAGCACTTCACCCCCACAGGGACAGTGAAGGACCTTGAGGGACACTACAGTTTTGCATATGCTAAAAGAAATCCTTGTTCAGTCTCAGAAGAAAGTGGCTGTGTTTTTTCTTTTGCATTCTACTCTGCTGTCATGAGACCCCATCTGGAGTACTGTGTCCAGGTCTGGGCCCCCCCAGTGCAAGAAGGATGTCAAGCTGTTGGGGCAGGTCCAGAGGAGGCCACAAAGATGATCAGAGGGGTGGAGCACCTCCCCTTTGAGGACAGGCCGAGAGAGTTGGGGTGTTCGGCCTGGAGAAGACAAGGCTCCAGGGGGACCTTAGAGCAGCCTTCCAGGGCTGAAAGGGGGGCTACAGGAGAGATGGGGAGGGACTTTTTACAAGGGCATGTAGCGACAGAAGGAGGGGTAATGGATTTAAACTAGAAGAGGGCAGATTTAGATGAGATATTAGGAATAAATTCTTTACCATGAGGCTCATGAGGCAGTGGCCCAGGTTGCCCAGAGAAGCTGTGGATGCCCCATCCCTGGAGGGGTTCAAGGCCAGGCTGGATGAGGCTTTGAGCAACCTGGGCTAGTGGGAGGTGTCCCTGCCCATGGCAGGGGGGTGGAACTAGATGATTTCTAAGGTCCTTTCCAACCCAAACTATTCTGATTTTATACACCAAAATGATACAGAAAAGCATGCGGGTAGAGTTGGGTCTCCTGAATGCACCTGCAGCAGCTGCTGCTCTGCCTGGCCTCTGGTGGTACAGGCACAAAGCGGGGTAAGGCTCGTGACATGGTACAGGGATGTTCCTATCCTAGAGTGCCTTTCCAAGAGCCTTTACCAGCCCCCATTTCCCTGTCAGCTGGCTGCAGGAAGGAAGGAGACCAGCCTCAACAAGTCCCGGTAAAACTCTGCCCGGGGTTCTTTGGCACCTGTAACTGTTGTGGAGAAGAACCAGACAAAGCAGAGGGAATTCCTGGCTTATCCCTCCCAGGCTCATGTTCTTCTCAGCCAGGGTTTATCTTTAATTCGCTGCCCCTGGCATGGGATGGAGGATTTTTCCAGGAGGGCAGCAGGTTGTAGAATTGCCCTCCTCAGCACCCACTGCTCCCCCAGCCTGCTGCGGGCTCACACACGGAGCAATGCTGCCTCACACTGAGGACACACGTCTAAAAGTGTCTGCCACAGCTTAGCAGAGCTGTTTCTGGGTGGAGCCCAGGATGGGGAGTGTATCTGCTGTCACAAGGCAGGGAGGAAGGGCTTGCTGCCTCTGGGCTGGGTCTGCACTGGGGCACAGTGCCAAGAATGTCCTTTCAGTTTCATTTCTCGCAGATAGGCTAATGCGCCACTTCTGCAGCCATGGCAAAATCTAGGGAAGAATTTGGAGGGGGTTCCAGCCTGGAGGACGAACTCAGCTGTCCCGTCTGCCTGTGTCTGTACAGGAACCCAGTGTCGCTGAGCTGCGGTCACAGCTTCTGCAAGCACTGCATCCAGAAGGTGCTCGGTGCCCAGCAGCAGTCCAAGGCCCCTTACTCCTGCCCCATGTGCAAGCTCCAGCTGGGGCCCATCCTGGAGCTGCAGAAGAATTTCCAGCTTTGCAGCATTGTGGAGGCATTTCTGGCCACTTCTTCCAAAGGACAACAGGGCAAAGGCTCTGCAGAGGTGCAGGAGGAGGTGATTCCCTGTGAGTTCTGCCTGGATTGGGCCCAGCCGGCGGTGAAAACCTGCCTGACCTGCGACGCATCCTTGTGCCAGGCCCATCTGAACAAACACAACGCCAAGCCCTCCCAGCAGGACCACATCCTCATGGAGGTGGGCGCGGGTGGCACGGCGGAGGAGCGGAGGTGCCCGGAGCATGGCAGGCTGCTGGAGTGCTACTGCCAGGATGAGGGACAGCCCGTCTGTGCGCTGTGCTCCATCACGGACGGCCACAAAGGACACAGCATCGTCACCCTGAAGGAGGCACATGACAAACAGCTGGTAAGGGGGGCTCCCCTCTCCCTCTCCCTCTCCTTCTCCTTCTCCTTCTCCTTCTCCCTCTCCTTCTCCCTCTCCCTCTCCTCTCCCCGTGGCCCCTGCAGGGTTTGCTCCAAAATCCTGCCCTGGAGGAAGGGGAGAAGCTGCAGGAGGCTTTCACTGGGGAATGGGGACAGTGGGGAGAGGGCAGGCAGCAGTTCGGGGATTTCCTGCTGGAATTTGCTTTTCATTTCCTCCTTCTTGTGTTGCCAAAGCTGCCTGGCAGGCTAAGCAGAGCCCCCACCACTGCTGAACTTTGGGTTGGGAAACAGGTTTGCCCACTCGAGCCCTTCCCTCTGGCTCCCTCCTCCTCAGTTTTGCCAAGCCAGTGTCCCAGCGGGCACAGACGTGGGGCCTCCATGTCCCTGCCTTTGAGTCCAGATGCTGTCCCTGAAATGCTCCAGAATCAGCTGAGACTGAGGGGATAAAATGCCTTTGCTATGCTCACTCACTGCCTTGCATTTGAAATCTCTAGGCTCAGTTTAGTGCCCAAGCAAAACTCCCTGCAGCAACCCAGTGCGTGGGCAGGAAGCGCCTGGCTGGCTCTAGACCTCGGGACAGGTCACAGCCTCCTCGGAATTAGCAGGCAGCATCCTTTGCAGTTAACATGTATTGCAAACTGACTTCCTCCCCCAAGTTACATGTAAAAACTTCAGGGCTGCCAAACAGAAGTGGTCTGTGTAGGGCAGTAGCCATTTCCTTCAACCCTGGAGCTGCTAAAGGAGCAACGCTGCCCTGCCCATGGGGAAGCCATCTCCAAGGGTAAGCTGAGAGCTCAGCTGCATATTCCTCTTGGGTTGTTTGTTGTTTTCTTTTTTTTTTTAAAACTCCCCAGGGCAGCCAGGAAAATCAGCAATACAGCTGTTCAGGAGGAATTATGAAAGGGTTTTGGTGCAAGGAACCTCGGTCAAATTTGATTATTTGTCTTTTAGTTTTTCAAAAATTAAAACCTTCCAGCTGTAACAACTATCTCATGGAAACCCTAAACTTTGTGGCATCATTTTTATTAAAGGAACAGGGATCTGGCAGCTGTGCCTGCTGTGGCCATTCATGGGTGCTCAAGGTGTGAAAATGTGGCTGGAGTCAGCCAGGAGCAACCAGAACCATTCTGAGACTGTCTAATCCCTGAAGAATGAGGTTTAATGGTCCCTCTGAAATGCATTGTCGTGCAATATAACACTCAATGATCATTGTATCAATCAAAATAGCTGGGTGAGGAAGTAGTGCTGTTTCGCTGATCTTCAGAAAAGATGGATATTACCTTATCCTCAGATCCCACAGATGCTGACAGATGCTAAGGATCTGGATTACATTAGGCACATGTGAAGATGCTGGCAGGAACAGAGCTTTAATGGATAGAGTGAGATTTATTTATTTAAAGTGAAATTTAGCTATTCAAAGGGAAAGCTGTTTATTAACCTACCACATACAAAGTTACACATATATAAAAATTAAACACTGACTTGAAAGATTTCCAGATCATATCAGTTTTGCATTACGCCCTATCTTTCTGAGGAGGCAAGTGAACTCACTGTTGAAAGCAGGCAGGTTGAAGGTGCCCATGCCATTTCACCGGCTCCACAAATGGCCAGTCTGGTTTAAAGCCACCCGTGCTGCTCCCCTGCTATGAAGTTCAATGCTGTCTTTCCTTCTGCTAGGGCAAACTCTCGGACATCGTGACACAGCTGCAGGAGCATAAAAGCGCTTTAGCTACCGCCCTAGAAGAGCTTCAGAAAAGTGAGAATCAGCTCAAGGTTGGTACCCAGATCGTCACTAATCCAGAGCATCTTTCCTCTACAATTTCTAAGAAATAATTGATGGCAACTATATGTCAGAAGCAGATTAATAGAAAGAGATATAGTCCAAAGCAGGGAAAACACTGGTGTAAGAAACTGCCAGAAGCCAAGCTGTCTCAGCCACCCAGCGCAGCGCCACAGCAGGAACCATCTGGGAGACTCCACCATTTACTGTGGTTGCACAGACCAGGTTGCAGGACTGGCAGACCACAGACTGTACATACAGTTATATTTTTAAAGTTTTCTATCTGTTCAATAGAAGAAAAACAACTTGAGTCTGTAAGTGGAATTTTCAGTGTATACCAATACAGTTCTCACATTGATAGATGAATTTTATCTGATTTTGTTACTATAGCACAATAATTTTAATAACCTTCTGTTTAATCAGATATTCTAAGTGAATTCTTATTGTCCACTTCCTTCTAAAGGCAGCACAAAGCATTGATACAATCCTGATTAATAAACAGTGACATAAAGCTGCAGTGTTGGATTCCTGAGCCAGTGCACCATTTTCTTATCTGTTTCTTTAGACTAACACAAAAACAGTGTCTTCTCAGCTGCAAAAGCTGTTTGAAGAGATTAAGACAGGTGTGATTCAGAAAGAGAAGAAGATCCTCAGTGACATTCAATCCAATGAGAAAACACAACTGGCAGACATTACCAAAGTGAAGAAGGAAATAGAACAGAAGAGAGATGAGGCTGTGCAGCATCTTCAGTCTTTGCAGAAGATGAGAGAGCAACCAGATACTTTCATCTTCTTCAAAGTAAGCAGCGATATTCTGCTTTTCTTCATGAATATGCCTGTTTCTCATCCATCTGCCCTTTCCAGAAATCACACTAACATATTTTTTTCCTTTTTTTTTTTTTTGGCAATCCTATTTGTAGGAATTTAAACTCGCCACAGACAGGTATGTTCCACCTGAAACCACTTTTTTTCTTCTTTGAAAAAACATGGTGTTGATAACTGGGATGAAACCCCGCTGCCTGTGCCCCTCTGTCCCAGCCCCCTATGCTGCAAAGCTGCTCCCTATTCCAGCCAAGCCAGAGGGAACCACGTCTGCACAATTAATGAGGATGGAGAGATATCTGCCTGCCATTCCGGTGGTCCCTTTGAGTTTCAGTTTCCTTGGCAGCAAACAGTTGCTGTATTCTGCTGAAAAGTACTGGCTTTTATTATCAGAAAAACATTTTTATCAGAGATGAAGCCCATAGGGTTCAGTTTACAGCAACACTCTTGGATGCGTATTGGTGACACTCCTGCATGTAAGTCCCAGTGAATAGCCTTTGGCTGCGGAGGTAACTGGCTCATTTCCCACCAATTTTTTGTTCTGCTTGTGGAAAAGCTTAATAGCTAGACAGATTTATTATCCCTTCTCTTGCAAGCAATACATTTAATTTATAACTTATCACTTCCTAATTGACGCCTAGGTGTCAGCTGTAATTCAGTGGTGCAGAACCACACCAACGGTGAGTTACAGATCCACAGGAGATTTTGCTGCAGCTCTAGACTCCCCAGCCACATGAAGGGCTAGCTCAAGCATCAAGCTGGATTTTATGATGTCATCTCTGTAACTTGTACAAATTAAAGCTGAATTTGAACTTGGATTGTAAGGATAACTTTGAATCACCGTGTTACCTAGGGGCTGTGCTGGCAGCAGCACAGCCCATTACTCACAGCTGAGCCGCAAGTCAAAATCTAGCCTGTGGGATCAAAGTCATTTTCCAGAAGCCTGGACACCATTTAATATGTTTGGCATTTTCTTTCTATCACACTGGCGGTTGTGCCAGAACAGTAAGAGCCTGCCTGCAGCAGGTCAAAGCACTATTCGCACAAGGGTATTAGCCAAACGCCTCCTCCTTTCTCATTTTCAGCATTTGAAAGTTCCCATCCAAGTTTGGTAAGCAAAAAGCACTGCTTAATAAATAATAATATATAACAATTGCAACTCAGCCTTACCAGAGAGCTGTTTACCTGGTGTTTCATGTTGCCAAAGCAGCCTCCTCATTGTAGAGTCCTTCCTAACGAAGGAGTTTGCTAAGTTTCTGATGCTAAATGGTTTTCCTCGGTGAAATGACTGCCTGCACCCCAGGATTGCAAGTCAGAATTTCAGCGTCAGCAGGATGGATGTGGCAGTAGTGCAGCTGAATCAGATCAGGATCAACGACAACCGATGCCTGATGTGGCACTTCCTGAGCGGCATGGACTCGATGCTGCAAGGCGTGCTCGGTGAGTGACCTGCCCCAGCCCCACCACGTGCCCTGACCCGGGCGGGCAGCAGCTGCCACAGGGCTTGGTGTGCCGGGCTGATGGCCACCAGCGCTGGCTCCCTTACGTGGGGTGTGAGCATGGCCTTGAGGGGATGGGGATCCAGATGGGATCCTGCGGGTGTTGGAGAGGGGAGGGCGAAGGGGGCAGAAAGACTGTTTCTGGGGATAACAAGGAAGAGGTCTGCTCCTAACCACTGTAAGGCCAGCTTCTCCTCTGTCTGATGTGGTTTCCTCCTCCCAGCTACCTCCTGAGATTTTGGGTGCTCAGTCATGCTTTTTGAGAAACGTCCTCTTCATTTGCCCATCCCCAGCTAGTCTATCCCCAGCCCTGAGATCCAGGGGCACAGTACCAAGTCCCAAACTTCAATACGTTGCCAGCTTTGTAACACATTCTTCTTCATCTTTCTTAGGTGAACTCACCAACCAAATTAAGTGGAAAAGGTAAATCCTTCAGTTTACTTACAAAATGTTCCCTTTCTCATTTCGCCAAGGAAATCTTAAGGACCGTGTGTCCTGTGCTCCTCTGCTTTGGTCTCAAGGAGAGCCAGGCAGAGCCTAGAAGGCGTCCTTCATCTCAAAACAGGGAGTCAGATCTATTCACATCTCTTATTTCATTATTAACAAGATATGATTCACGTTTTATGAGGCACTAACATTCAACACTGTTTCTTTACAGTGGGGCTTCAGATACTGGTACCTCTTCAAACCGTAAGTGTTCAAAAATAGTGGTTATTCCTCAGGACTCTGGCCTGGGGCTGTGAGTCTTGCAGGGAACATCTCTGGCCTAAAAATGTGAACAGCATGTTTTTGCATACATCTCCGCTCCTTGCCAGAGGTGAGACCAGGAGCAGGGCAGCCTCAGGGCACAGTGCTCAAAATCTGCAGTGGACAGAAATCTCTGGGAACTCACCTGAGAAATCATTTATCTTCAGCCTGAGGGAGAGACTGGGTTTGCTTCAGTACTCATTAAAAGCCTGAGCCCTGCCAACTGAGCAGGAGCGGGAGCAAACACAGTGACTGAAGGGATTCCCAGACAAATCCAAATGCTGCAGGAAATATTAAATCTGGAAACAGTGTTTCTCTTCATATAGCACTAGTCCAATGCTCAAATAGATTTCTGCTGGGTACAGGGGTGCATCCTTTCTACAAGCTTTTTTGAAGAAAACTTACTAGAAGTTAATTGAAAGATTTGTAATATTTATTTTAAATGCTGCAACTAAAGTACAGTTTGCAAACAAGTATTTTGTAATTAATAAATTAAAAATAAAATCCTACTTTCTTTACCACTTTTTAATTTTTTGAGGGGAAAAAATATTCTCTTCTGACAAGCATTTCTTAGGGACAGGTTAATGGTAAAATTTTACTTTGGGAGGGATGTGTCTAAGAACAGCTGTTGAATGAGGGGGTGGAGGACAATGTAGTCCTGCCCTAAATGCAAACATATTTGTTTTACCAGGCACATTTGAAAAAAAAACAGAAAAAAAATCTTGTTTTCTTTTTTCAGTAATTCATGTAGCTGGTAATGGATGGAGAGCACAAGAGGCATTTGGTGCAAGCGATTAAATGGAGTTTTAATTACACAGCATGGCTTAACAGTACAGTTGCTTTCATTTAACATAATGCCAGCCTCAAATCTAGAGGTATATTTTTAAATCAGTGTACATGGCCATTTATTTTTCTTGTGAGCTCCATCACCTACAGACATTAATGTCTGCATTCTATACAGAACCAGACAGTTACTCAAAACAGGGGAAGGAGAAGAAATATTTTTTCTGAGTCGATGCAAAGCTGTACCTGGAAGTAACTTGCCAAATATGTTATGAGTATAGCAATAAAATAATACTTTATTATTACAGGAAGTGAAGCTTTTCCATCTTGTGTATTCTTACAGCACAAGGCCAACAGAAAGGACCAGCCCACTTCAAGCATCAACAAAGTGTATGGTCTGCATGGGACCAGAACTAAGGGAGAGGAAAAAAAAAGAAGTCAGAACTGAGATGGAAAGAAAAAGTTAAATGTTGTCAAAAACATCCTCTAGTAATGGGAATCTGACAAGTGTCTTGACCTGCCCTGCATACCTGCTATTAAAAGCAATTCTGTACCATAGGCAAATTTAGAAAAGAAGTGCCAAGAAATAATATGAACATAAGAAAATCTCCAACTGCTGCTGGATTCCAAACTGTGGACTATGTCATCTCATGGTACTAGTGGTACTTGTGCACTATGAATTGTGGTGGCTATGTTGTCATTAAGTGGTTGGATAACAAAATAAATGGCTACAGATACAGAGGAGCAAGGCTGATTGCATACCATCACCAGGAATTAATTGTTGAGAGCATTGTTCATGGATGGATGCAGCAGAAAGCTGTTCAGGACGATGCCACAGATCTGGATTATCACATTTAACATAAGTGATCTTTGTAGCAAAGAATTAATTATCTCTGTATGAAACCAGCTTAGTCAGCCTCTAAGCCACATTGTAACACTTCTACCAAGCGCTGCTGCAAGAGCCATGCAAGATACCACAGTCAGCAGCATAGGGAGATGCTTTACTGGCCACACTTCCCTGAGTAGAGATGTTCTTTTCTGATAAAGCACCTGCTGTGTTTTCCAGATGTAGGTGTTATTGCACACGTCAACTCCACAAAGGGATTTTGTGGACACTGCCAGGCAGATAGGCTCAGATAGGCTGCTCTGTGCCTAGCTCTGGTTCAGATCAAACACACAGGTTCACAACCTGGGTGTTCCTTCTCCAAATGATTAAAATCGTCCACTGCAAACCAGGGTTGCCAACATACACATTTTTAAGAAATAAAGGCTAAAATTGTGGGTGCTTCTCTATAATTTAGGATTCATGGCTACAACTATTTTATCACTTGTGGTAATCAACATATATGTAACCGCAAGGATTAAAAACAATAAGCTCAGCAAAATCCAGCTCAGAGTAATGTCTCGTTTCATGGTTTAAATGGACTTGCCAAGCTGTAGTGGATCCGCAGCCCTTGCTCTGCTGCACACATCAATTGTCAGCATAACAGAAAGTGCGTGGCCAAATTTTAGGAGCTCAGCAGTAGCTCAAGGTGACTTTGCAGATATTCCCTACTGCTCGAAGCCAGCAAGACACAAAGGACTGCTGCTCTCAACCACTCAAATGAGGCAAAAGAAATCAGCCCGTCCTTCAGCACTTTTATTACCTGGGCGTCTCTCTGGCTGACAGGTTATTGCTCTCACCCCGGGTGAAGGAGCCGTGACCAGCCCACGCAGTTCAGTGCTGCTGCTGCAGACAGCAAGTTACTGCGCTGCTGCAAATCACTACAAGAGTGAGATTTACTCTAGCACGGTTCTTTGAGTAATTCCCTCCCTCCCATCTCACGGTGCATGCTATGATGACTACACTTAGGAAACATCAGCACCTCTGTAGCTCCTTTGAAATATCATTTTAGCATTTGCTCAGCGAAACCCGCATTACAAACATGTATTCCCGTGTCTCCAGCCCCAGGCTGCCGTGGGAGGACCGGAGCACGGCTCTCCCCATCGCCAGCTGAGGGAAAGGGCAAGGGGCAGCAAGGTGCTGAGCAATCCCTGCGCTCCCAGGCAGCTGCCCTCACCACGGTGTTTCTGGATATATGGCTACTCTCGTACCTCCCAGCAATTCTCATTTTTTTTAAAAACCATTTCTGGCAGTCTTGGAGAAGCCATGATGACATTTTCTGTCCCCAGGGAGGATGAGGCACTGACTTCACCTTGCCTTCAATGCCAGCCGTCAGCTCCCTGAGCCCCTGGCAGAAAAGTCTGCGACCAGTTTAGAGAAGGGGCCTCCCAGAAACCTTCACCGCAGAGGACCACCGAGTTCTCACAAATGGAGTCACATTCACAAAAGCTTTCAGAAGGGCTGGGAGCCGTCGGGAAGGGAATATGCCTGCAGCAGGCTGGGTAAAGGCCGTTCATGCCTTAAGGAAGAGCTCTGCAGCCCTCACTAGACAGTTGTACCGCTGCCTTTGAAGCATCGATCACAGATAATACAGTATTGCACCACGACTGAAGTACTCAGCGTAACTAAAACCCAGGACCAATGGGACTTATTGACCAAAATGAAGACAGTAATTGTCTGGATGGAACTTGCCTAGCATCTAATTTGGAGGGAAAAGTGCATGTAGCGCTTCACTGCTGGGCTTATCGGACTCTAATTTGGGGCTGATGTAAACACTTGACAAAATGGAGCAAAAGAAGGTGACTCTTTGAAGGCAAAACTAATGTGATCCAGGAGATAAGGACTTTATAACTGCTTCTATATGACAAAAGCAAAGTATTTCATTTTAAGTAGATTGAGAAAAATAAATTTTTAAATACTGCTGCAGGCTCACAAAGCTTTTGGATGAAAATTAGTATCTAGGAAGGCAGATTTTCTGAGTTAGATACTAAGGTGATGGTGCAGTTTATTTCCTCCATACATTTGCCTGCTATACTATTACCAAAGATAGACTCCTCTGAACTTGAGACTTGTCGTATTTTTAATATTCCATGTGTTAGCCTTGAGGAAGCAAAGAAAGGTGGAAGACTAAATGAATGCAATGTAAGAAAATATACTGGAGTCCAGCAATGCTGCACAGATATTTGTGCAGAAACTAATTCTTGATAGGAATATAGTTGTGAGATACATAGTCCTGAGATATAGACAGAGTTTATTTCTTTTTGATATATTTATGGCTTAAGTATTTTGATTACTTAAGGACCCTGACTGATTGCATCTTTCATTATTTTTTATGCTTTCTTCCCTCCACCCACTACATTTTTACTTGGCATTTGTCTCATCCTTGATGGAAACCTTTAGAGGGGAGGAGAATGAAGCAGATGATTTTATGGCTCTTTTTTTTGCTTTTGCTAAGCATTGCATGATGTGGCTGAATTTATAATCAAATGCATAAATAAAATGCATTTCAAAAGCTAGGACAGGCCTCTTTCTGCTACTTAGTCTGATGGGTTTTCTAGGTCAGTCAGACACGCCACATCGAGACCTCTGTGTGTCTGACACTAGGGCCTTCTAAGACCAGCAGGTTAGACACTGAACCCCAGGGGTACCGCTTTGATTTTGCGCACTGGAAGCTGCAGGAGGTCTTGAGGAAGGTTGTCCTAAAGACCCCAATTGCTTCCCCCAAAAGCTCAAATTCAAGAAGCTCAGGGTAGCTTAATGTTACTTCTGTTTTGTCCCTGACCATGAATGTTTGCCTGGGTGGCCAGACGAGCTGCCAACATGGGGAGGCAGGTTTGTACGAGCTCCGATAAACAGACAGATCTCACTTTCTGGGCAGCAAGCTAGGCAGTTCCCATCTTCTCCATCTCCAAACTTCATGCAACATTTTGTAAATGCAGGCCTAAAACTCAGTGGATGGCAAGTTGTACAGGGAAAGAAGGACAAGGAGAGAAAATAACACATTTTTATCTGCTTTCACCATAGCCCACCTGTCCTACCGTGGAGCCGTGCAGCCAGCGGGACTGAGGCAGTAGGCAGGGAGGTAGCAGGAGGACACTACCAAAAGCAGGTGGCTCCATACACAAGGCTGGGAGCCAAGTGGCATAAATCAGCCAAGAGCTAGGGAAATCACTGGGTGTCTTTGCTGACTGATAAAGAAGAGCTTCTGGAAGCCTGGACGGGACTCAGAAGAACCAGGGAGAGCCACTGCACAGGGCTTTTATTGATGGGGCAGAGA